CTTTCTATTAACCAAAAGAATCTCTCACCAGATAGCCACATGCAATTTTGGTCAATTAGTCTGAAGTTTAATTGAATCTCGATGTGAACAGGACTTATTTCTGGGATTGGCAGTATGTGAGGTAACTGGGAGATATATGGCAGTAAATTACAAACATTTTTCTTACATTCCAGTTAATCTTTTTTTGTTTAATCGATATATATTAATCAATACAACACCAGTCAACTAATCCAGTGATTAGGAGAAACTTGTTTTTTCCCTTTCCTTTTTTTTCTACTTCCCATGGGAACATAAAATTTGTCAAGAAAACCCAGTTAAAGAAAATTAATCATTCTGGGAAGGAATGGTTATGAGAAAAGTCAGGGATGAAGGATACAGATTATTTAGAAGAACAAAACAACAGTTACAAAACTACCACATTTTTTAAGAAAAAAAAAAAAAAAATAACTTTTTCTTCAATGCAACACTCCTCAAGTCCCAGCATAAATAAACACAGATGGCAGAGACAAGAATTATATCAAACATGTGCACTCTTTCTTCACAATTCATCCAGAATCCTGACACTACACAAATGTCTTGACAAGCAAGGGAGTGTTGATTGCTTTACATCACGCAGTGACCACTGTGGAAGGTACTGGTGGACATTTTAGGAAAATATGTCAGTAAAGTCCATTATTTAAGGAGATAATTTGATGACAATGGCAAAATGGCTGACAGTGTATCTCTCCAAAAAAAAAAAGGTCACTCAAAGTATCAATATTTTCATTTCAGCAAAATCGGGGAGGGAAATGGGTCAGGGAAAAAATGTCAACTGGTTTTCCAGCTGTTTAAGGGTATGGGAAGCCTGTGTCTTAGGAGGGAAATGAACCAAAATGTCAATATTTATAGGGACTGTGATGGCGCAATATCCCTGCTGGATACAGTGATACTTCACTGATGATTTATGACCTGCTTTTGTTGATACAAGAAGAAAAATAATGCCAGCTGCTTATTAACCCCCCCCCTTGCCTGCAGGAAGGAAAGAATACTAGTAAGAGATGGACATTAAAATGCTATGTTTCATACTATAGACTACTATGGATTTATCTGAAAATTGAAACGGTAGCAGACTTAAAATTCAGCCTAAAATCTTAGACCATTTTTCAGCACAGATCATTTTATGAAAAAAAAAATTCTCGAAAATTCAAACTACAACACAGTCCTAGGCATTTCCGACCCAGCGTCTCTTCATTTAAACCTCAAATTTGGTGTAAAATTGACCACAGTCCCTTGTTATCTGGACCCACCCTCCTGGCCGCAAAGAAAACACACAAATTACAATTCCACATTGGGCACATGTGTCAAAATAAAACACACAGCAACTGGCAGACATTAGTTTTTGTTTTCTCACCATGGGGAAAGGGGACAACATTCAGCAGTCCTGTCTGGCATTTAGGAATTATGTGCACTGGACCAATTTCACAGAACTCTTTCAGAAAATTACTGACGACCAATAGTTATCTTTTACTTAGCTACTAATTTATCAGGTTAATTCTGATATAAGATAATTCAGTAGTTCACAATGAGAAAACTGTATCCCTCCTATAAAAATATGCTTAAATGGCCTGTGAATGAAACTTTGGATAGAATATCCCCCTTTCAGTCATGTCCATGTCTACTCTCCTATATTTTCCACATTAAAAAAATCCCAATCTACATCATCCTCAACTCTTTAAACTCCTCTTTTCTACATAAAAGGGTGAAATTTCCCAATAAAGGGACACGTTCACCAACCCTGTCATGAGTTTCTGATGACAAAGATGATGATGATGATGGCACTGATACTGATAAAGAAAGGAAGCTGCTTGACTTGTCTTTGAACACATTCGCAACACTGAGTCAACTGATCCACTGACCAACTTGAATGCTTGCTGTGTAATCCCTGCTGGGAATCTTTGGGATAGCACTAGAATTTTTTTTTTTTTTTTTTCATTTTTGCTTAGCCAAATCACCACTTTTTTTGTCAATTTGTTATCCAAATGGTTATAATTTGACTAAAACAAGTCAAATCATGCCCTTTTTGTTCAGCCAATTTATGTCAGTTTTAGCATTTGGCAAAATAGTCGAATGTTAGTGCTACCCCAGAATCTATTCAGTGTCTATTGTGGGATTATTTGGCAAGCTTTCATCATATTTGATCCCCGGATCTGTTAGTCTGCTGTTGTGAATGCGACCTTTCACTATAATATACTTACACTGTAGTGCGTATGCTGCTAGTTCTATCACGGTCTCGTATGGACATTCCAGTCTACCATTTAGAAGATCTAGCTTCAACTGAAGGAAAAACTGATACCTAAAAAAAAAAAAAAAAAAAAAAAAACAGATGAGAAAGAAATTGCTAATCATGGGTTTTTAATAACTGCCTACTTTGATGTTATCATTTGTCATACATGGGATGTTAAACACAAGGCCTAGGAATAAGGGCGCCAATAATTCATTTATTTTCAGAGCAAATTTCAGCCTGTTCATAAAATTACAATCAATTAATAAGTCATCATATTATTATTGAAGAGGAAATATTTGGACAATATTATTCAAAACACAGAACTCCAATTCCCAAAAGTAATCGTACTAAAGACATAGCACATTCAGAGCTTTATAAATGTATACAGACCAAAACTAGAACTACTTCAATTTCAGTTTACATTTTTAAGGCTTTGGTTCCATTAAACGCTTTACCAGACTCCACTTAAAACCAGCCCAAGCTGCTCCAATTCTGCACTGGGTATAACATTATTCAGTGCCTAGAAACTTCAATGTTTATTGTGGAAAAGCCTTGGGTGTGATAAGGCAGCAGCACAGGTATATATGCCTTTATAAGACCTCTAAGCAGATTTGCTTTTACAAGTTTTTACACATTCAGAGAGCTGCCTTTTTGTTTAAAGGCCTCGTAAATAAAAATGTCATTTGCAATTTTTTGTGATATGCCCCCCCCCCCCCCCTTCCTCCATTTTAACTTACCTTGTGAGTTCTTCATGTAAATTATTTGGTTCTGATGAGTAAAATTTCACTCGTAACCGGAGTGTGTAGGGTGGTCCAACTGAAATTATACAAAAACAAAAATTAACACCCCATTTCCATAGATTAGATCGACCTACTTTAGATCGACCTAACTCCCTGGGGGTTCACGCTAAATAGCTGTCAGCCGAGCGGACACGAAAGTTAATTACCCTCTTACAGCTTGTAGTAGGCGGGACGGACATTTAAGTCGGATTATCTGAAAGTAATCTAGTGAGACTCCCCGCGGGGATAGATCGATCTAAAATCTATGGGAATAGAGCCTAAAATTACTTATAGCTGTTACAATTTTAGAAACACCTGTTTTGATTCAATATCTCAGTTAAGCCTCATCGCTTATAGATTTTAAAAAAGAAGAAAATTCTGTCATGAGCCTATTTAATATTCACCAACTTTCTTAAAATATTGCTGACAACTGCCCCTACCCCTAAAATAAAACATCTCCTAGAATAAAACACATAAAAACCTTTACTTTTTTCATAGTATGGAAAGGACAAAAAAGCCAGAAAAAAAACACTTCAAGTAGCACAATTTTCTTCTTGCAAAGGTGAAGTACTCTCCCTTATCTCTCCTTGTTACCTGGAGAGACTTTTATTCCTAGGAATAGAACATTTCCTGGAGTGAGGTAAAGAGGATGTTATCAGAAGCACTTTACCACTGGAGCTGACATAAGTAGTACACTTTCCTGGATAATTGGCTGCTAGGTATTTGCAGTAGGAAAAATGTGCAGTGTATTTTACTGACACTAGAATTCACCAGTTAATGGAGGAAGAGAGGGAGGGACGGAAGAGAATGAGAGAGAGAGAGAGAGAGAGAGAGAGAGAGAGAGAGAGAGAGAGAGAGAGAGAGAGAGAATGCATGCGTGTGTGTACCTACATGAGTGTTAGTATGCCAGGTGGTAGGTGTTAAGGTCTATAGGTTTTGAAAAAATGTTATGAGCATCTTGCAATTTCTTTTTGTCAGCAAAAGAGGAAGTATAATTGTTATTTAATGAGACAGTGAGAAAAAACAGATACTGAAACAATGCAAAATAACAAGATTCCCTGACTTTTGTCTCAACAGTGTGAGGATAATCAAAAAGAAACAGAAAACAAAAACAGAAAGAAATAATATGTCACAATATAAAGATTCTGAAAAAGGTAGAGAAACAGAAAACAAAAAAAAAAGAAGAAGAAAAAGTTGAAATGAAAAAAATTGTGATTTCCAGGTAAAGCTAATTTGCATATTAGCACACACATTAGCACACGCACACATAAGAAAAAAAAAAGCATACAGAGACATCTTGTTTTGCTCTTCTCCAAGAAAAAACATGAGCACCTCCCAAATAACATGCTTATTTGCAGAGACCTGGGAATTCTCTGAATTAGTTCCAAAGCCCAGGAGTTAACACAGCCCATATTATACTGCTCCAAGACAGGAAAGATGATAGTGATTATAATGGAGTCTTAAAATGCTCAAAATAATCAGTGAGCACTCTGAGAGTCCAGGGTTTCTTGATTACAAATTTATCACTTGTACACTAAATCCTGGTAAACAAAATACCTACTCAAATCCACTCACTTATGATTTTTTAAAAATTAACATCCCCAGGTGTCTCAAACGATGGTCTAAGACATACAATTGACTAATATTGTACTATACTTTATCTCTTTCTATAGTGACCATTCAGATATAAAAATATTACTTCTACACTATGACACCCTGGATGGTGACCCTCCCTGCTTGATGCACAGGGTACTAGTAACTAATGTTCATCCATGCTTCCTATGCATACTGGCTTTAAAATCCCCTTTAAACTGGACAGGGTCCTTTCTGGATCCTTTGTGCGACCATGAAACTGGCATTGCTGTCTTCTTAGAAAGAAGGCACAAGCATCGCTTTAGTTGCAAATTGAATGCTCAATAATCGGCCATTTTTTTTTTTTTTACTCTCAAAGGCAAACAGGGCCTTACTAAGGCATGTAGAAAGGACACTGTCCAGTGCAAAGTGGGCTTAACATATCACTTATAACTCAATGATACACAGGGTGACGGCCCTCCTCGCACACTTCAGTGCCCAAAACTCCATGACCTGTTCAGACATTACATATCTTTACCTCACCAGTGACACAACAGGAAAGTATGCAACACATCCAAACTGCAAATGTCAAGTATTTTTCCAGATGATCCTCCCAGAGCATGAAGATGTTTTCAAACATGCACCTTTTATTTAATGTGCCTGTGGAAGACAGTAATGCAATGCAACGGCACGAAATAAGATTATATTTCACCTCAAGAAAATAAAATTACATAGTTTATAGTCAAGCTTCTTTACTCAATTTCTGGTTTCATCAACATTGTAGTTCCAAAACGAAGCCACGTAATAAGAACTAGTACACAATCACATACGTATATTATCTTAAACTTCTTTATGATATTATTTTCAAGAACCATTTGGACGACAGATTTGCCAGTATTCTGCGCATCACAGGGAATATTTAGCTTACAGGGTTATTTAGTCTGCTAGAATTCCCTAGGAAATAAAAACTGAAGCTGTTTCTAGGCAAAGAAGTCTTTGGAATGTGGCACGTTGTCCACCTCCAATTATCAGCCTCATTTTGGACATTCAGTAACAAATTTTCATTCATTCAGAAAGAGGCTTCTGCTAGGAGAAGAAGGAATGCACAAAACTGCTGAAGGTTTAAATGTGGTATGTTTTCTCTGGGTGGAGTCTTCAGATAGGAAAGGTAATGGGGAAAATCAGACTTTGCTTTAGATTAGTCAATGTATTTTTCGCTTGTGGGTTTTACGATAACATTATTATCTGCTTAGCAATGGACGCCATTTCCACCCACGATAACAAAGGGTCCGAAATAAGTGTAGGATAGAAATACCTTGCACTGGGCCTTGATCACGAAGGGGAAAAAACTCGCAGGAATATTAATGGCATCAATAAAGACATTCTTTTTAGATCTAAAAAACACTCCTCCCTTATTCCCACATATNAATAATTTTTTTTTCGTAAAAAATTCCCTTTTTTTGAAAATTTTGGCCTGTTTGACCTTGAAATAAAGGTCAAAGGTCAAATCCAAGGGCATATTTGGAATCCTCATATGTGACTTTCGGTCAGACTTCTATATTAATTTTTCCCATAATTCCTTCAGTTTGGGAGATATATAGCATTGAATTTTCAAAAATTTTGACAAGGGTGCATTTCAACGAGCGTCATGCCCAGGCAATTGCACCGATCGAGACAAAAAAACCAGGGGGTTCAAGTTGAGATTATATGTGACCTAAATCCAAGAGATGGGGACACAGGCCCATGCAGTCTAGGAGGAGAAGCGGTAACGGTGACTTGTATCCCACGCCACCCTGCGGAGCCGGCGGAGCTCACAGAGCCGGCGGAGCTTACGGAGCTGGCGGAGCCGTACGATACGGGTCGGGACTAAAACCATGAGTACCGCCAGCGTACACGCTGGTGGTACTAATAAGAGGGGAGTTGCTATACATATATTTGTAATGCTCATGTTTTTCAGTTTCAAAACACAGAAATGACAAATAACATACTTAAGTGTGCTAACTACATTAACTGCGGGCCATTAATTCACAAAATGATCTTAGAGTTACAGTGTGAAGTAACTCCGTTTGAAAGAAAAGTCAATATTTATTTTTTTCTTCATAATATATTCAGTTATCACTATTTGTCCATATTTTTACTTGTTTTATTTATCAAAATTTGATTCATTTAAAATTCACTTTTTATAATATATTTTATTCATTTATTTAACTTATCCATTTCTTCATATTTATTTGTTTTATATACATGCAATGGTATGCATGATAAAGACCACATGACCCTGGTTAAAATGAGACTGCCATCTATATATGCCCAGGCACACAAGATCCATGGAAGCAGGTCCTCCCTTAACCCCCCCCCCCCCTTCCCCCTTTTCTATTCACTCATCTCGAAATGTTATTTTTCTACGCTTATTCTATCCCAGCAGCCCTAGTCTGGAAGAGATGTGGCTGAATATTTGTTTATTCTGGGCTACCAAGTTCCTGATTTACGTTAGTTTAACCTATTCAGACACAGCTTCTGCTTGCCAAATCCCATCTGGAAATGCTAGTACCTCTGACAGTTGGGTGTCTCTTTTGGCTGAAGAGTTGATGATTTACTCGTGTTAGTCTCGCTTTAAAAAAGGACTTTACCAGATAAATTGCCAATTATTTTCTTTTTCTAAGGCCAAAATAATTTATTTTACAATCATGGCATAAATAAACCAATAATTATTTGTTTTCTAGCCCCAGAGGTAACCATCTTGAACATTTTGTTTTAAAAAAATGAGGGGGGGGGGAGCAGAGGGGGGAACACCTACTGAGTATAACTTAAAAGTTGACAAACCTGCTATTTTTACTGTACACTACTAATATATTCTAAAGTAACACAACAATACATGTGCTGCATTAACTAATTATTATATTATTTAGCAAATACTTATATCTAATAAAGTTCTGTTAATGTCAGAATATATATATAATAGATTTAAAAGACACCCTCCTTTGGTTGATATATATCTGTTCTCTGAGGTGTCCAAAAGGACATATTTACCTCTTCTAAAATCTATCATTATGTACCTAAATTACCATGATTTGCACATATACAAAGAAACACCAGTCTAAAAGTGTCAGAAATTGGCTGCTTTACCACATGCTGCGGCTGGTCTTCATTTCTGCTATAAAGATGCAGAATCATATTTGTGTACAGATCCAAATCAATCTGCCATTCCAGCTGAAAAAACATGCACATCATCTCTGTCCTCTTTATCGTGTGTGTGTGTGTGTGTGTGTGTGTGTGTGTGTGTATGTGTGTGTGTAGTTCATTATTACACTGGATATATATCAAAATGTTGCACACACTTACTTTGGACTTGTTTCTTTATACTTTTTGTTGGGTCTAACCAATGCTGAAAAAAAAAAACAGAAAAATAAAGTCTTTAATAATGATAATATCAACACAAAATCAATATATGGCATTAGAAACAAAATTAAAACAGAGTAGCTTAATGAAGATTTTTTTTCTACTGACTAATTGCCAAATGGGCTAATTGTTAATTTAAATGCTAACTGGTACATCTATTTACAAACTGATGAACAGAATTACCTATTACTGTCCATGGGCAAAAACAAATTAGATGACCTGATACTGCTTAATTTTAACCTTAAAAGAATTCACATAGGACACAAATGGCCCCCTGTTTATGTCATATGTTCTTCACAGGTGTAACTAGTTATACTGGAAATGAACCGTACCTTAGAGGCCAAGGAAATATTTGATCTTTAAATTCAAGAATCATAGGGTGGAACTTTTTCCAAAAGAGATGCCTTGTGGTAAACTGTTATATACCATCTTGCTGCAGGCCAAATTGACCCTTAAGTTTCAGGTCAATTGACATTTTTCTCCTATTTTCTTGCAGTTGTTTTTCATATTTTCCTGTATTTATTTGTGTGCATACATGTACAGGCACGTGAATCAAATATGTCACCTGCATGTAAATGTGTATGAGCATTCTCTGGCATAAAGCAAGTTTGCATAATAGTGCATGTGGATGTATGCATCCTTGTGCTGTACGCATGAGACACAGATTTTATGACTCAACAAGTCACAGTGTACAGGGACCCCCAGTGTTGGTACTGGTACTTGCACAGTTATTACAAATGGTTTTGGTACTTGTATTTGCACAGTATAAATTTTCAAATATGAATGTTCTAAAAAAACATATTTTCATACAAATCTGTCCTGACAGATGCCAGTGTACATGGGTCACTGCTTTGAAACAGAAGCAAAGAAAAAAGTGAGTCAGCCACATTCAAAGGCTGGAGCTGTAATATGAGAATGTATTTCCTCAGAAACCACTCAATCTTCAATCAAACTCTGGAGTTAAATGCCTGAATAATTGGAGCCACTCTCTGATAGTTGCCACATGTATGTGCATTAACCGCAAGCAACTTCAGGACAAAGTGTGTGTGTTTGTGTGTGTGTGTGTGCATGTGTGTGTACCAATTTGCACTTCTCTCTCTCTCTCTCTCTCTCAAGCTCTGTAAGTGTATATGTGTGTGTGTTTGTGTGTGTGTGCGTGTTGGCTGTGCATTTGTGTGTCTGAAATGAAACTTCATGATGAAGTGTATTGCTTTTTAGCTTGTTTTATGGTTAAGATGTCTCATATTGGCCAGTATTTCATTCCTTCTCTCCCTCTCCCCTCTCCATTCTTGATCTGCTTCTTAATCTCTCTCTCTCTCTCTCTCTCTCAATATCTGCAAGTGTGTATGCATGTGAGTTTGCTGTGTATTTGTGTGTCTACAAATAGCAGACAATGGATGGAAGAAAAACACATTCTTAGAAAGTGAGTTAATAAAAATAAACCACAGTATAACTGCAAGAAGCAACAGAGGGGAGTCTACTATCTGTCCAGCAATGCCCATGATAACAAGATGAGCAATATGAATGACCGATGAAGTGACCTTTTGACTTGGTACATTCTCCTGCTATTTTTTCCACATGCCAGACAACATGCTACTCCAGCAGGATAAATTATGATCAGAAGTGAAAAAGTCCTGAAAATACCATGTGGGGTCCAGGGGGAGGGGGAGGGGGGGAGGCTGTACTGGCTTACCTATTAGGTGATTCATTGGCAAAAAATTATGATTGTGGATCTCCCCCCTCTCTCTCTCTCTCTCTCTCTCTCTCTCTCTCTCTCTCTCTGCCTTTAACTAAGTAGATCACTTTCCAAATTGGAAAAAAATATGCATGTGCATGTGAGACTATGAGTGTGTATGTATGTGCACAAACAGATCATTCCTTCCCTTTCTTTCTGTTAATTCATAGAAAGACTATCTAATAAATCTTCCTCTTTTCTCTTAAGAGGTGGGAAAAGGGATCCGAAGTGATGTGTATACTACACTCTGATATTCTCACAGAGAGAGAGCTAGCACTGGTGGTTAAAACAGATGGTTACAGAATGTATGTGGTAAACGGAAGTTATTTTGAGTCGATCGTGTTTCATATTGGTCTGCACCATGTTTTGTTGGGTGTCTGGAATGCTTTGTAACCACAGCAAGGCCAGTAAAAAAAAACTTACAGCTGGGCAAAGGTTTAATGTCAAATTTTGAAGTGTAGAGTTATTAATCTTTATGGTATGAAATTTTGACCCACTTTGTTTTATTGCTTGTGTGTTGCTGTCTTTATCAGAGTTTTTATTTTCACATTTGAAATTTGCAATATTTTAAGTTTATTTTGCACTGTTCCACTTATCCCCCCTCCCATTCTATTTCCTTTTTTTCTCCCCCTCTCTCTCTCTCTCTCTCTCTCTCTCTCTCTCTCTCTCTCACACACACACACACACACACACACAAAAACAAATTGTGCCATTTTTTTAAAAAGACAAATTGTTTGTTTTATTCCAATATTACTTCACTAATAATGGACTACTTTTGATTTATCATGGATCAAAACCAACATTACCATCCCAAAGTTTTAAGTGTTAAAACACCAAGTATTTGGAGTCAAAGGTGATTTTATTGAAACTGGCCCAAGAGTTGTCCTGAAGTTCAGGCCGTCCTTTCAGGAAACTGGCCCTCAATAATTTGACCTCTGCGGAAGCAACTGTCTGTATTCACTGTTGAAAACCCCACGTGTAACACATGTCACCAGTTATGGTAATTATTAACAAATTTCCAGCAGTTCCGATATAAATAGTTTTCTTTTCTTTCTTTTTTTTTTTTTGGAGGGGGGGGGCATGTAAAACATTTTTCTTCTATCTTCTTTAAAAAAATTAAAAATGCAATATTGTAAGAGAAATATAATTGATCAATTTTCTTCAATTGTAGTGAGTTTCTGCAGTAATACTTACATTTATTCCAGCCGCGTCTGAATATTGCAGACCGAAGTAGTCTTTTTCTATCAGATCTAAATTGTAGTATACACGTTCTAAAAGTTCCTGGCCTAAGGCTTTTTTCTGAAAGGACGAAGAGAAACTTCATTATTGCATATGTTTAAAATGTTACTACTTTTTTTGTGATACACTGATGACAAAAAAAATAAAATAAAATAAAAAAAAAAACATGCTGGCTATCTACAATTAAAATAAAATTTATACAATCATTGAACCTAAACATAACAATTACTGTTGCAATATTTCATTTTTTTTTCTGTGGTCTTCATTTTGTATGATACCATTTATAGGTCAAGGAGATCAAGAGTGACAGCTTGTTTAAACCTGTTTTAGGATGAGCATGATAGCATGACCATTTTCGTAAACCAACAAGTATATATATATATATATGTAAAATATCAATAGAAAGCTTATAAATTTCAAAAACTTTGCAATTCAAACAATAATTTTATCATGCTATATAGCAAGATAGGGTGATTTCAACACTATAAAGAACTCTACTCAAAAGACAAGTGAATGCCTGAGATACAATCTGGGGTAGTGCTGGCATTTTTTTTCTCTTAGCCAAATTACTACTTTTTCATTACTTTCTTCTCCAAATGGTTTAAATTTGACTAAAACAAGTCAAATTAACCATTTTTTGTTCAGCCAACTTAGGTCAATTTTAGCATATGGCTAAATTGGCAAGTGTTAGCACTACCCCAGCTAATACCGAAAAAGGCAAAAAAAGGATGTTTGAGATACTAATCATTGGGTTTGCATGTATGACATCTACCCTGAAGCAAACCAACCAACAACTGAGTTAACCACTCAAAATGACACAGACAGTTGTAAAAGAACCATTTTAACACTCAATGCCAATTTGATATTCAATTTTCTAGCCATTCATCTATCATTAAGATGGAGAGAGGTAAAGGAAAGGCTGGGGGCAGGACAGTCTGCAGGCCCATTAATGGTGAGAATACAGCCATTAAATGTACCATAAATGACACGGACCACAACAAATCACTCTGAATGGGGATGGATGCATGAATATCTGTTTTAATATCTTGTGGGGCTAGCTATCTGTCCTCTCTCTCTCTCTCTCTCGCGCGCGCGTGCTGTGTGTGTGTATATATGTGTGTGTTTTGGCTTAAAGACATGGCATCATACTAGAATTTTATTGAAGATGAATTTGAATATTTTTATGGTATACCATACAGTCATTGCCATTGGGTCATTGTAATTACTACCAAGTAACATTTAGAATTATATTACAAGTACAGTAATTACATTTCACTGCTCAAGATTACTAGTATACAAATTTATAAAATTTGCCGTTGTTGTTTAAGGCAGTATTTTCATCGTAGAGAAAAAAAGGGCTACAGTAAAGATATGTTATGATACCAGTTCAAAGAGAACCCTGCAATTACACAGTGAGGAAGGAAATTGTGCCCTTTATTTTAGGTCATCTAGGTCCACTATTCCCTATACAGGGTCATTGAGGAAGTGGTCAGTCTTTTTTATTTCCTGAGGTGATTGAAAAATATAAACACAACAGTGTGATGGACACATCTATTTGTGGGCAATAAGTGAACATTATTTATCATGTTTGTAACATGTTTGTGTCACACTACAATGGATGTTGCAAAGGAGAAGCTGCATTTACACTGAAGATACAACGACCTTTCTCTACAGGTTGTCAGAGCTATATATTCACTGGGAGTAAAAACTATTTTTACTTGTTGTCCTGCATGTTGTCATGTCAATTAACCAACGCTACCCTCTATCACCGCGGCAGATATTACAGGCGCATTTTCCACCAGCCACAATTAGAAGACTGACTATATTGAACCGGAGACATTATCTGAGAATATCTAGTGAAAAATCAATTTGTAGACCTGTTAGAAGGTAGACGAATGCCATGAACACACACATGGACATAAGCAGACATGTGCACTATAGAAAATACAGGTTGAACATTCCCTGATATCTAGCTTCAATTAAATGAATAGCTGAGACAGGAGCCCACCTATCTCTCGTGTAAACATGTTTCAAGACTGTTGCAGTCTAACTGCACCAAATCACCAGTACATTTCAAATATATTTATATAAACAGATCAATTAAATAAAAACCACACATCAATTTCACGTGTCAATTTCACAAGGTAACGTACACCATGGCTACTAGTAATTAGGTCAGACTCGACCAACCAAAAAATTATTGAACATTTGACAACCACCTGATGCATAAATTATGCCAAATTAATGCCTCGTGCTTCGACAAGTGCACAGATTTATTGAGAGCGAGATCAATATAGGTGCAACTTTTCATGCATGTGATTATTACCAGTTTCAGTTTGAAAGAGGGCAAGTCAATATAGTTGTGGCTTTCAAACTTAATTAAAGCGTTTTGGTTTGAGAGTTGGTGAGTCAGCCTATTTTTCACATGCGTAGATGATGTGCAACACCAAATTAATAACTTATAGTTTCTTGTCTACAATTGCTGTTCTTTCAAAATGCCAGCTCCGTCACTGCCATTAGCTGTCAATCAGACATTAATTTTTAATCACACCAATACAACTATAATACTCTACTGCTGAACTTTCAAAAACTTTCTTCCACGAAAAATAAACTAAAATTCAAACAAAACACAAAGGTGATACTTTTCAAAAATACACACCAATGGGCTCACTTCCAACACTTAAACAAGGCTTTTCATTTTACGCCTTATTTGCCATTTTGCCAATTAAAAGCCCTAGAGGTCCGGCCACCTGAAGCTTGAAATGCCTGCCAAAAACACTTGAACAAAGGTGTTTATTTAGACGCACTGTACAATTTTTAAAGCTAAAACCAGTGACTCACTCTTTTCGGGTACACATTTCAATTAATGTTGATAAACATTTCTGAAAGGTTTCTTTTTGGGGTTTGGGATGGGCAATTAAGTCCCTAAATGCCCTATAAGGGTGGCCAAATTTGTGATGGTCAGTGTCAATGACCAGTGGTCAGGGGAATGTCTCTTTACTGTAAACTGGAATGTTAATGATGGGTTAAGATGTGGTATGACTAACCCCCCCCCATCAAGCAATGTAGTTGCAAATTGTAATACCACCAAAATCAAATGTTAAAGCCACATGTGGTGTTGTAGTATCAATAAATGTGGGCAAAATTACAATTTCCCCACATACAAGTCAACACAAGTTCTTCCAAGTGGTATAATTTTATTTTCAAGAAATATCTGATAATACTTTAAATCAGTAATCTTATAAGCAATTCTAAGCATATTTTCAAAGAGTAGCTTTGAGCCAAACAAACTCAACACAGTTCCAATCTTGGTACTAAAGGTGTTTCCCTTTGATCATCAATAAAATCTGTTGATTGAAAACCCCTCAGGGGCCCCATCACTCATCCACCTGTCTGTTACAACACATGGGCACTGGAAGCTCTGCTGGGGGTCTGCTGACATCAAAAGAGGCACTTCCAGGTAATCCGAGATAGAAATCATTGCTGGTCAGGAACAGCTGTGTGGGGATCAGGATATTAAACATGGACACCCACTGAGATAGCAATTTCATGGAAATATTATGAATACCTATCCCAGATCACTTTTGAAGCTTTGATTTGGAAATATTCGCCGATGGGTTAACAAAGGGAATGGTGTGTGTGTGTGTGTGTGTGTGTGTGTGTGTGGAGGGGTTTCAAGGGCACTTTCTTAGTCCCAATAACTGTTAATATATGCACTGCCTGGTTTAGCACTGGCAATTTTTTTGCCAAATGGTTGAAATATGACAAAAAGAAGTCAATTCAAACCCTTTTTGTTTAGCCAATTGAAGTCAGTTTTAAATAGCATTTTTAGCGCTACCCCAGCCTGCTATATAATATGATGCAATATATGGTAAAAGTAAGACAATTAATCTTCAAATTATATGGCATGTGGTTTACTTTGGCATGATGTTATCACATTGTTACATAACAAGGTGCAACAGCTCTCTCTGTATTTCAATTAACAGTTGTATATTGTGTAACTTCTGATGTAATGTTGACACATATAAAATATGTCACACCTGTTGCTCTGTGTCTTAATCTTGTTATCAATCTACATCAGTGTCTAGACTGCATATAATAAATTATGCAAATCTGACAGAATATATCAATTTCATAAATTCACAACCACAAGTAACTACTAGCATGGTGTTCTTCCTTTGGGACTACATTTAATAAGCTGATTCAGTGGTAAGTGTTAATTGTGTCACATATTGAAGTGATGCTTTAAAGGTCAATTGGACATCTTTTTTTGATATTCCAATAAGAAATCAAATTAGGAATTATTTCAAAAACATACATATACAAAGACGAGGTTTAATTTGTCAGGTGAAAAAAGAAAGGAGACTTCTTTTCCTGATTGTAATCAAATATCCCTTTTTAATTTGGCACTTGAAATTCAAGTCCTATTTTGATTAATCTCTAATGCAACACTACTTAACTTAATCAACATAACAGTTAAAAAGTCCACAAATTTAACCATGTCCAGGACACTAATTTAAGGTCATGGTAAAAAAAATACCAGGTAAAGGTATCATAGATAAGATCAGTTGGGATTCTGTAACAACACTTAATCTCTTTAAAATACTCTAGGTTTAAGTTAGTCAGGTAAGACATTTAAGATAAAACCAGGTAGGATTTTGTGACAATTCACCTGCTAAAATATCAGGTCTCTAGCTAGCCATAAAACTCATATCATAAGGTCAACCAAATTGTTTTCAATACCAAACAATTAATTTAACCCCAAGAGGTTGCCTTACTCATAATAATAGTGAATCATGCTGAAAACTTTACTGAACTTCGGGGCCCATTTGCCAAATTAACCAAAGCCTGAAAGGTGGTCGCAACTTTTAGTCACCAATTTGAGTCTGCTTGGGATTCAACATAAGTCTGTAGAAGGTGGTTGCACGATGTGTGGTGCCAGATTTATGATATGGAGTAACACTCAGATCAATTAGCTTACTTTTTAAGCAGAACTCTATGGATTTATCTTAAACTGACATATTAACAGTCCAAAATATAGTTGTAAAAGGAAAGACTAA